GATTTTGGTGATAGAATTGAAGCGGAGGTAAAATCTCAACTCATAGCTGGTTGCAAGTCGAACAAAGTTCGTGAGAAAGGCCTGAGTACCCCAGGCATGACATTGGCTGATTTGTTAACTCATGCCAGAACTCTAGAACTTACACATGAACACTCCAAACAAATTCAGTCCTCCACTCAATTCCAAAATGTGAACACTCACCAGGCAAACGCCATGACCCATAAGCACCATAAAAGAAAGCCACAGAAAACTTCTGATAACCATGATAACCATGAGAAGTCACAGAAACAGCAAACTTGTTTTAATTGTGGACGTGCTTGGCCTCATAGTGGGGGTCAGAGAAACTGTCCTGCTTTTGGAAAAAAGTGTGTGAAATGTGGAAAATCAAATCATTTTGCCAATGCGTGTAAAGATGGACATACAAATGCACCACGTGGTCGAGGGCATTTGAAGAATGTTCGCATGGTTGATGACTGCGGGGAAGAGACTTCTGATGAAGATGAGTTTGTCTTTCTGTCACAAGGTGAGAAAACCAAATCTCCAAAGTTCACCATGAAGATTAATGGACAACCTGTTATCATGTTAGCAGATTCAGGTGCATCTATCAACACAATTTCAAAAACTGTGTACCAGTCCCTCCGACCTAAACCCAATCTACAAGAATGCAGAACAAAGGTGTTTCCTTATGGAAAGAAGGAACCAGTGCATGTGCTAGGACGTTTCACAGCCACGATTGCATCGAAGACCGCATCTGCTGAAGCAAAAATATGTGTCGTGTCTGATGTTGATGAGTGTTTGTTGAGTTGGCAAATGGCACAGGAACTTCATCTGCTAAAAATACATGAATCCGTGTATTCTTGCAAATCTGAAGATCTGATAACAGAATACAGTGATTTGTTCACGGGACTCGGCAAGCTGAAAGATGTGAAAGTACAGTTGCATATCGACAAAGATGTTCAACCAGTGGCTCAACAGTACAGACGTGTACCATTTCATGTCAGGAAGGACATAGAAACCCAGATCAAATCTGATTTGGAACGTGACGTCATTGAACGAGCTTCAGGTCCAACACCCTGGGTGTCTCCTTTAGTGGTAGTCCCTAAACCAAGTAGTCCTGGCAAGGTGAGAGTTTGTGTTGACATGAGATGTCCAAATACAGCCATAAAGCGAGAAAGACACAACTCACCAACACTGGAAGAACTCACAACTATTCTCACAGGGGCTAAAGTTTTTAGCAAACTTGACCTTAATCAGGGTTATAACCAGCTTGAATTGGTCAAAGAATCCCGGTATATCACCACTTTTGCCACACACCTTGGATTATTCAGGTACAAACGCTTGAATTTTGGAATCAACAGTGCTGCTGAAGTATTCCAAGAAACCATTAGACAAGCTGTCAGTGATTTGAATGGTGTCATCAATATCAGTGACGACATTCTGGTACATGGGGGTGATCAACAGTCACATGACACAAATCTACATGCCTTGTTTGAACGTCTCCGTGAAATGGGACTAACTTTAAACAGTGACAAGTGTGTTTTCAACAAGCATTCCATTGAGTTTCTTGGACATGTGTTCAGTGCTGACGGCATAACACCAAGCCAGGCAAAACTGTCTGCAATCCTAGATATGCCACCACCCAAGAATGTTTCGGAAGTGAGGAGCTTGCTTGGAATGATGAACTTTTGTGGTGCTCGTCATGTTCCAAATTATGCGACACTCACCTATGAACTCCGCCAGCTGACTCGCAAGGATGCTCAGTGGGACTGGACAGAGAAACACCAAACAGCCCTTGACAACCTGAAATCTGAACTGTGTAAAGCGACAACACTGAGTTTCTTTGATCCACAAAAACATACAGAGCTGTATGTTGACGCAAGCCCTGTTGGTTTGTGTGCGGTGCTTACTCAACCAGATTCGGATGGAAAACCCAAAGTGATTCAGTTTGCAAGCAGATCGCTCACACCCACAGAACAGAGGTACTCTCAAACTGAACGGGAAGCTTTGGCTGTCACTTGGTCTTGTGAACATTTTCACATATATGTGTTTGGATCAGTGTTTACCATATTCACCGATCATAAGCCATTAACTACACTGTTCAGGAACCCAAAGGCATCGTTACCTCCCAGAATTGAAAGATGGGTGATGAGGATTCAGCAATATCAATTCAAGATTGTCTACAGACCAGGAGCAGATAATCCGGCAGATTATCTTAGTAGACATCCAGTCCAGCAATCTGCAAGTCATAGAGAAGAGAAGATTGCTGAAGAATACATTAACTATGTTGTTACCACAGCAATCCCTAAAACCATGACGACAGACCATGTTGCTAAGGCAACAAGGAATGACCCGGTATTACAAGCTGTTATTCAGGCCTTGAACACAGGCAACTGGAAGTCAAGCAATAATGTAGACAAGGTGTATGACTCTTTGTACAAGTGTCGTAATGAACTGTCTGTCGCCATGAACAATCAAATACTGTTGAAAGGTGCTCAAATTGTGTTGCCACCAAGCTTACACAGACACGCTGTTGATCTAGCTCATGCTGGTCACCAGGGCATCGTGAAAACAGTTTCCCTGCTTCGTGAGAAGATATGGTTTCGTGGATTGCACAATATGGTGGAACATGTGGTTAAAAACTGGATGACATGTCAAATCACAACTGATTTGCCAGCACGTGAACCCCTCAAAATGTCAGAATTGCCAGATGGACCATGGCAAGAGCTTAGTGCTGATTTCGGTCAGATATCAACTGGTGAATATCTGCTGGTGGTGCAAGATGAATATTCACGTTATGTCATTGTAGACATACTTAAGGGCATCTCTGGTCGCAATGTAATTCCAAGACTTGAGAAAATCTTTTCAGAGTTTGGGATACCACATCAGCTCAAGACGGACAACGGCCCACCATTTAATGGCTACGAGTTCAGGACATATGCAGAACACACTGGATTCAAACATCGGAAAATAACTCCATTATGGCCGCAAGCCAATGCAGAAACTGAACGCTTCATGCGTACCATCAAAAAGTGCATTAAAGGTGCTATTGCACAAGGACAAAACTGGAAACAGGAAATGTATCGATTCCTGTTGTCTTACCGGACAACACCACACACGTCAACAGGTGTTCCTCCAGCAACCGCCATGTTTAACAGAAATCTGCGAAATCGTCTGCCTAGTTTGTCCAAGTCATCAAAATCCAGAAACAGGAAAATGAGACAGAGAGACATGGCAGCTAAACATGCAATGAAGCAGTATGCTGACAGAAAGGCTTATGTCAAGCCACACAGTTTCAAGGAAGGGGATGCAGTTCTCCTGAAAGACACGTCAATGAGGAAGTCCAACACCCCATATGAGCCTGTGCCTTTAACAGTAACATCCACAAAAGGCTCGATGGTCAGTGCAGAGTGTGGGGGGAGGAAGGTAACAAGAAACAGCAGTTTCTTTAAGAAGTCACCCCAACATCCTACTCACTCCAATATTCAGGACACAGTTGACACACCAGAATGTGATGGTCAACAAGTTCCAGTCATTGACAATGAAGATCAAGCAGTGATTGATCCTATTGAACAGGTTGAACCAAATGAACCTATGCGCAGATATCCAACAAGAGATCGAAGACCTCCGAGTAAATACAAGGACTTTTTCATGTAAAGTGCAATGTACAAATGTGTGCACATGTGAACTGAAGCCTGAACTGTGTTTGAAATTATGTGTTCAGTTAATTCATTAATTGAAAGCTGGATTATGTTTTAAGATCTAGTCAATAGTTATCAGTATTATTTACTTTCAGCAAAGAGACTATATTTGCAATAATGTGAAGATTTTCACAGGTATATTTTGTCTTGGCAATTTCATGTTGTCACAAGTTCTTGAAGTTAACTCATAGGTTAAACTAATCATTTAGCCAGTCTAATTATTGATCCCTCAATAAGTATCCAAGGAGGGGAGAGGTTGTAGTGTTTAGCCTTTTGTTTAGCGGTATGTTTACTAGCAGTATTACCGAGGTTCCCTTGTACAATATTATGGGATAGCAAGTAAACGATCAAGCATGGTTACCACTGTGTTGCGTTTTCTTCAACACGTTGTTCGATCGAACATCGAGTCCATCGACTCATATTAATGGCATATAAGTTTACCAACTTCATACCCATGTTTGATGGTGCCTAAAGAAACTATACACCCATGTTTGATGGTGCCTAAAGAAAGTATACACCCATGTTTGATGGTGCCTAAAGAAAGTAGACACCGATGTTTGATGGTGCCTAAAGAAAGTATACACCCTTGTTTGATGGTGCCTAAAGAAAGTATACACCAATGTTTGATGGTGCCTAAAGAAACTATACACCCATGTTTGATTGTGGCTAAAGAAAGTATACACCAATGTTTGATGGTGCCTAAAGAAACTATACACCCATGTTTGATGGTGATTTAAGAAAGTATACACCTTGCTTGATGGTGCCTAGAAACTATACACCCATGTTTAATGGTGCCTAAAGAAAGTATACACCTTGCTTGATGGTGCCTAAAGAAAGTATACACCCATGTTTGATGGTGCCTAAAGAAACTATACACCCATGTTTGATGGTGACTAAATAAAGTATACACCCATGTTTGATGGTGCCTAAAGAAACTATACACCCATGTTTGATGATGATTTAAGAAAGTATACACCCATGTTTGATGGTGACTAAAGAAAGTATACACCTTTGTTTGATGGTGGCAAAAAATGAAACAAACAAGAAATGGTTTTTGGACCTTAAGTGTTTCTGTGACTGTTTCCAGCCTAGTCATCTTTTGAATGTTTTTGCAATCTTTGGTCAAATCAAATTTTCGAGTGTATATTTTCTTTGCCAGTTTATTTTACATACTGCCACTGTATACAGAGTATAGTTGCAATCGATTCACTATACAAGAAACACGTACCCCAACGCTAGAAACCTATCTACAATAACAAGAACAGTGTTACAAAAGAAATATTAAACTGTGTTATAACATACCTCAGCCTCCTGAGCTTCCAAAGTAAAGTTATCTCCCTTGTGCTGCTTCACAAAGACGCAGTGAGGGGCGTGTCTGGCATGCTGCACCCAGGGGTCGGCCTCGGGCTTCCAGTGATGCAGGCCACACCCACAGGCAAAACACACAACCTTGTCTGTGTACCCTGGTGAATATAGATGTTATATGTATAACTATAATAACCTATGATATATTATATACAGGGTTTATGATCCACCACTATACAGAAACACACAACCTTATCCTTGTACCCTGGTGAATATAGATGTTATATGTATAACTATAATAACCCATGATATATTATATACAGGGTTTATGATCCACCACTATACAGAAACACATAACCTTGTCTGTGTACCCTGGTGAATATAGATGTTATATGTATAACTATAATAACCCATGATATATCCACCACTATACAGAAACACACAACCTTGTCTGTGTACCCTGGTGAATATAGATGTTATATGTATAACTATAATAATCCATGATATATTATATACAGGGTTTATGATCCACCACTATACAGAAACACACAACCTTGTCTGTGTACCCTGGAGGGTGAATATAGATGTTATATGTATAACTATAATAACCCATGATATATTATATACAGGGTTTATGATCCACCACTATACAGAAACACACAACCTTGTCTGTGTACCCTGGAGGGTGAATATAGATGTTATATGTATAACTATAATAACCCATGATATATTATATACAGGGTTTATGATCCACCACTATACAGAAACACACAACCTTGTCTGTGTACCCTGGAGGGTGAATATAGATGTTATATGTATAACTATAATAACCCATGATATATTATATACAGGGTTTATGATCCACCACTATACAGAAACACACAACCTTGTCTGTGTACCCTGGTGAATATAGATGTTATATGTATAACTATAATAACCCATGATATATTATATACAGGGTTTATGATCCACCACTATACAGAAACACACAACCTTGTCTGTGTACCCTGGTGAATATAGATGTTATATGTATAACTATAATAACCCATGATATATTATATACAGGGTTTATGATCCACCACTATACAGAAACACACAACCTTGTCTGTGTACCCTGGTGAATATAGATGTTATATGTATAACTATAATAACCCATGATATATTATATACAGGGTTTATGATCCACCACTATACAGAAACACACAACCTTGTCTGTGTACCCTGGTGAATATAGATGTTATATGTATAACTATAATAACCCATGATATATTATATACAGGGTTTATGATCCACCACTATACAGAAACACACAACCTTGTCTGTGTACCCTGGAGGGTGAATATAGATGTTATATGTATAACTATAATAACCCATGATATATTATATACAGGGTTTATGATACACCACTATACAGAAACACACAACCTTGTCTGTGTACCCTGGTGAATATAGATGTTATATGTATAACTATAATAACCCATGATATATTATATACAGGGTTTATGATCCACCACTATACAGAAACACACAACCTTGTCTGTGTACCCTGGAGGGTGAATATAGATGTTATATGTATAACTATAATAACCCATGATATATTATATACAGGGTTTATGATCCACCACTATACAGAAACACACAACCTTGTCTGTGTACCCTGGTGAATATAGATGTTATATGTATAACTATAATAACCCATGATATATTATATACAGGGTTTATGATCCACCACTATACAGAAACACACAACCTTGTCTGTGTACCCTGGAGGGTGAATATAGATGTTATATGTATAACTATAATAACCCATGATATATTATATACAGGGTTTATGATCCATCACTATACAGAAACACACAACCTTGTCTGTGTACCCTGGAGGGTGAATATAGATGTTATATGTATAACTATAATAACCCATGATATATTATATACAGGGTTTATGATCCATCACTATACAGAAACACACAACCTTGTCTGTGTACCCTGGTGAATATAGATGTTATATGTATAACTATAATAACCCATGATATATTATATACAGGGTTTATGATCCACCACTATACAGAAACACACAACCTTGTCTGTGTACCCTGGTGTATATAGATGTTATATGTATAACTATAATAACCCATGATATATTATATACAGGGTTTATGATCCAGAACTATACAGAAACACACAACCTTGTCTGTGTACCCTGGTGAATATAGATGTTATATGTATTATGTGTTAATTATAATAATCCATAATATATCATATACAGGGTTTATGATCCATCACTATGCAGAAATGCATTGCTTGGAGACAGAAAATATATAAGCTGGGACCTGAAGGAATGTACAAAAATTAAACATTCTACATGAAAATGGTTTATTAATTTCATTAGTGGTTTGAAAAGTCCAAGTCTTTTATACACCCAAGTTACCACCGCTGTCCTAGAAAAACACAATTTGTGGAATGTTGTCAACAATCTTAAGCTATGACGTCATTCCTAGAGTGACGTCATTATGACCTTACGTCACAATAAGATTCAAATGATTCAACAACTCTGTCCAGGTGACGGAAACAATACAATGGTGTGTGCGAAGTGATATTAACACCCGTGCACATACAATTTTTATTTCTAACCCTTTGGGTAATAATATAATATATACAGGGTTTATGATCCAACACTATGCAGAAATGCATTGATTGGACATAGATACACAAACTGAAGCATTCTACATGAAATCTAGTTGTTTGAGTCCAGTCTCTTCAAACACCCAAGTTTGTTATCATGACTATTACATATTTAGACAGTTCATTGAGTACGATTGCGGGGCCCTCACATATCTCATCAGAACCCTGAAATTTAATACCTTATTCAACGTAATAAGTGCCCCGCTCTAATAAGCGCCACAGCGATATTTACTAATATATTGGCGAGTAAACCATCCCAATTTGCACCCCTTCCGATTGATCGATGTACACAAGACATATTTGTGTGTTATATATATGTATCCTTAATTATGGGCAATTAATTTCTGGAAAAATATATCTGTCGATTATAAACATTTCAGGCTGTCAGCATCCTCCACGAAATTTACGATATTTCAAAATAATATTCTAATAAGAGCCCCCTATTTCTAATTTTGAGAGTTACCTGGGTGCTTATTATGTCGAATACGGTATCTGTATTGGGGCTCTCTGAACCCTAGTTAGTTCAGCAAAAACAGATAAAACCGCATAAAGGATATGTATATCACACACGACTACACACATACATCAATACTCACACACAGAACCTGTCATCAGTATAGACAGTTTATAAATGAGTAAAAGTACATGTATCCAGTGTTGTTTGTATATAGTTGTTGTAGACCATTTACATTTTGCACATATGCATGATATAGCAAGTACAGTACAACTTGTTGAACATGTTGATAATTTGGAAACTGTTTTGTATGACACAGTCTTGAACTTGATAACAATTTAGCAGTAGAAATGTTTTCATGTGACAATTGCTTGAATGTAGCTTACCTGTGAAATAAAACCCTGCTTGGCAAAGCTGATCAGCTGTTTGTCTGACTTGTGCAGGCCAATATTTAAATGTCTCTAGTCTGTCCTGCATTTCCTCAAACTGAGGGTGTTTAAACATAGGATCACCACTCACAAAGAGGTTGTCACAAGATTGTCCTAGATGTTGTGATCTGATCTTGTTTTCCAAGTCTCTTGGTATATTTCCAATATCCAGGTATTTGACAACAGGACAATTCTTCGACATCTCCTGGTGTCTCTTGACAGGTTCATCTACATCATACAACATCTCCAGCCCACAGAACACACACCTGACCACGGCCCCCTCCCCCTGGTACACAAACCCCGACCCCGCCCACACCTCAGCCCGTGGGTGGGTAGGGCTGGGGAAGGTGAGGAGTCGGTGACTCTCAAACAACATCGACCCAATTCGTTCATCACCCACATTGACCTGATTTTCAGTATCCGAATGCTCGGGCGTTCTGGGAGTATTATATCTGTCGTACACAGCCAGCACGCTCTGTTCCTGGGTACCAGAGACTGTGTCACTTGGTGTGTCCTCCGTCGACGTCGGTGTGCTCATCTGCAAACGTCGTCGGACGTTACGGGGGTCACCTGGTCGGGTTCTCCCGGGTCTCCGAGCTGTCAAAAGTGCCGGCGTGTGTCTCGCTAAGAAGGCACAGTCCGGACTAAGGACACGGTGCACGGCCATCGGCGACTCGCCTGACCATCCCCGGAACGACACAGAACACTGGAAACACTTCACCTCGTCCCCCAGGGCCCCAGGGTGGCGATAAAACCCAGCTTTTGACAACTTCATGGGGGAATTGTATGTCAACAAAGACGCGTTGTTCCTCCTGCCCGGCTCTGGTAGCGGGTACTCCTGGAAACTGGCGAGTCTCCTGAGGCTGTCATCCATGCCATTAACAGAACCGGTATCCATTGTAACAGAATCACAACAATTCCAAGGGAGATGCACTTTAGATTCAACACAAAAGGCAAATTTGGGTAACACTTTCCAAAATATCAACAGAAGTCGGCCATGTTTCTTGGGATATTCCGGTAAAGGGAGATTAATCTTGGGAGTACAATTTCTAAAAATAGATGTACGCTGCGTGTCATTTCCTGTTTGTCGAATATTAATACAATTTGATAATATAGACTAGTATAGGCATACGATGGTGAATGTACCCAAACAAAGAATAAACCCACCAGCTAGTAGAAACAGCGTAGCAACACATTCCATGTATTAACTTTAACTGAGAATGCAAATATAATAATTAATCTATTAAAATATAATGTATGAAAAAATAACTTAATATAGACCATATGTATTTCTAGATATTTTCATTGGTTTTCATGTATAATGCAAACTGGAGTCAATTATTCATCATAGATTCAAGCGTGTTGATATTGTACGGACGCTTCATATACTATTACAGCTGCATTACATTGGAAGAAAGGTAAAATCTCATGGGATGAACCCCCAACTCTCCCAGTTAGTCTCACATATGAGTGAGTGAGTTGGGTTTAACGCCGCTTTTAACATTATTCCAGTTATATCGCTGCGTATCAGCTTAATGTGGGAGGAAAGCCCGAAGTGATGCAGGTCTCAGACGTTTACCACTTCGGTGAAACCCACGAGCACGGGTATATATATATATATATATGATGCTGACAAACCTAGAAACATAATTGGGGCGAACCGGGATTCGAACCCACAATCATAGGTTTCTGGCGTGCCCAAGGGAAGCAACTCTGCACAGCGAATCGCGGCGCCTTAGACGACTGGGCGATCCGTGCCCCCTCTCACACAATCAAAACAAATATAAATAAAATCATTAAACTGTGCTTTCTTTCTTATTTTCGCAATCCATATCATGTTATAGATCTATCAATCTTATGACAATTCTGTATGGAGGATCAAACTTCTTTTTAAAATGGAGCATCGTTCGGATGAAGATTCTAATAGCAATTAAATGAAGCAAATGATCTACCATCTTGTCAATAGGTATCCACCTACACATACACATCGTTGGCAATTACACCGTTACATGTTTGTACTGTGTTGTCGTTCATTGTTCCTGTTTTTCGATAGTGTCTTCTTTGATTAAACTGTTAAAGAAAAGTCAATCCAAATTATAAAGATTACCATAAAATATACTCCATATGTACATACTATGTCATACTTAAAAAAACCATAACATTGTGGTGTATAATGTAATAGCTTTCTAACGTACAGATGGCCTCGTTGTCTAGTAGCCGCCTCGTTGTGTAGATTTGCTTCCCTTGGCAGTACCTGGATACGCTGATCGTGGGTTTGAATGCCTTCTACGACCGTTGGTCTGTCAGTTCTATACCCGTGGTTCGAACAAAGCCGTAAAGAACTCTGACCGATGGGACAGTAAATGTCGACTCACTGCAGAGTTCATTGATGTTGTTTAACACCCCCCTAAAGACACCATGACGAATTTATTATGCCCAAAAGTTTACACTCTCTGGTATCCATATCGCACATTTTGCCTTTTATTAGAGATTTCCTCATCGGTGCTACGGAGCAAAGCGTTTGACAGCCATTGTTGATGTCAAAGGGAGACCACTCTTCAAACCTAAAGAGGCCAAACCTTGTTGAAACTTTTAACTATAATCTTTATCAATAAAGTCACGAACGTGATCTAAAAACAGATTATTGTCCTTGCACATCACAATTAATGATAGTAAAACACAAAACAGTGTCAAATAACGAATTTCAGTACCAGCATTTTACTTTGATGCATAACAAAGTATTGTATTCACCCGAATGGCTGACTAAACAGTGTACATATTTTTACTTGATGTTTGTTGCTTAACGCCTCACTCAGGACTACTGCACATGACGACGGACTGTAAACAATCAGGTCTGGACCAGACAATCCATGTGGTCGATATTGGGAGCAACGATCGACGCCTTCGGGGTGCGATGACGCGCAATCAACCAAGTCACCAAACCTGACCATACAATCTGTCAGAAAAACAAAGGTTTGCTGGGAATCTACTCTAAGCCGGAATCCCCATATACGGGACACCCAGTCACGCAATTATTAATACCAGGACACAAGGCCTTATCGTACACCAGGACACCCAGTCTCTCCATCACGAATCACTGTACACCAGGACACCCAGTCTCTCCATCACGTCTCACTGTACACCAGGACACCCAGTCTCTCCATCACGTCTCACTGTACACCAGGACACCCAGTCTCTCCATCACGTCTCACTGTACATCAGGACACACAGTCTCGCCATCACGTCTCACTGTACACCAGGACACCCAGTCTCTCCAACACGTCTCACTGTACACCAGGACACCCAGTATCACCATCACGTCTCACTGTACACCAGGACACCCAGTCTCGCCATCACGTCTCACTGTACACCAGGACACCCAGTCTCGCCATCACGTCTCACTGTACACCAGGACACCCAGTCTCTCCATCACGTCTCACTGTACACCAGGACACCCAGTCTCACCATCACGTCTCACTGTACACCAGGACACCCAGTCTCACGTCTCACTGTAAACCAGGAAACACAGTCTCTCCATCACATCTCACTGTACACCAGGACAACCAGTCTCTCCATCACATCTCACTGTACACCAGGACACCCAGTCTCACTGTACACCAGGACACCCAGTCTCACTGTACACCAGGACACCCAGTCTCTCCATCACGTCTCACTGTACACCAGGACACCCAGTCTCTCCATCACGTCTCACTGTACACCAGGACACCCAGTCTCTCCATCACGTCTCACTGTACACCAGGACACCCAGTCTCACCATCACGTCTCACTGTACACCAGGACACCCAGTCTCACCATCACGTCTCACTGTACACCAGGACACCCAGTCTCACGTCTCACTGTAAACCAGGAAACACAGTCTCTCCATCACATCTCACTGTACACCAGGACAACCAGTCTCTCCATCACATCTCACTGTACACCAGGACACCCAGTCTCACTGTACACCAGGACACCCAGTCTCTCCATCACATCTCACTGTACACCAGGACAACCAGTCTCTCCATCACGTCTCACTGTACACCAGAACACCCAGTCTCACCATCACGTCTCACTGTACACCAGGACAACCAGTCTCTCCATCACATCTCACTGTACACCAGGACATCCAGTCTCACCATCACGTCTCACTCTACACCAGGACACCCAGTCTCACTGTACACCAGGACACCCAGTCTCGTCAACACGTCTCACTGTACACCAGGACACCCAGTCTCTCCATCACGTCTCACTGTACACCAGGACACTCAGTCTCTCCATCACGTCTCACTGTAAACCAGGACACACAGTCTCTCCATCACGTCTCACTGTACACCAGGACACCCAGTCACTCCAACACGTCTCACTGTACACCAGGACACCCAGTCTCACTGTACACCAGGACACCCAGTCTCTCCATCACGTCTCACTGTACACCAGGACACACAGTCTCTCCATCTCGTCTCACTGTACACCAGGACACCCAGTCTCTCCATCACGTCTCACTGTACACCAGGACACACAGTCTCTCCAACACGTCTCACTGTACACCAGGATGCCCAGTCTCACTGTACACCAGGACACCCAGTCTCACTGTACACCAGGACGCACAGTCTCACTGTACACCAGGACACCCAGTCTCACTGTACACCAGGACACCCAGTCTCTCCATCACGTCTCACTGTACACCAGGACACCCAGTCTCACGTCTCACTGTAAACCAGGAAACACAGTCTCTCCATCACATCTCACTGTACACCAGGACAACCAGTCTCTCCATCACATCTCACTGTACACCAGGACACCCAGTCTCTCCATCACGAATCACTGTACACCAGGACAACCAGTCTCTCCATCACGAATCACTGTACACCAGGACACACAGTCTCTCCATCACGAATCACTGTACACCAGGACAACCAGTCTCACTGTACACCAGGACACACAGTCTCTCCATCACGTCTCACTGTACACCAGGACACACAGTCTCTCCATCACGTCTCACTGTACACAAGGACAACCAGTCTCTCCACCACATCTCACTGTACACCAGGACACCCAGTCTCTCCATCAAGTCTCAATGTACACCAGGACACCCAGTCTCACCATCACGTCTCACTGTACACCAGGACACCCAGTCTCACCATCACATCTCACTGTACACCAGGACAGACAGTCTCTCAATCACGTCTCACTGTACACCAGGACAACCAGTCTTACCATCACGTCTCACTGTACACCAGGACACCCAGTATCTCCATCACGTCTCACTGTACACCAGGACACACAGTCTCTCCATCACGTCTCACTGTACACCAGGACACCCAGTCTCTCCAACACGTCTCACTGTACACCAGGACACCCAGTCTCACTGTACACCAGGACACCCAGTCTCACCATCACGTCTCACTGTACACCAAGACACCCAGTCTCACCATCACGTCTCACTGTACACCAGGACACCCAGTCTCACCATCACGTCTCACTGTACACCAGGACACACAGTCTCACCATCACGTCTCACTGTACACCAGGACACCCAGTCTCACTGTACACCAGGACACCAAGTCTCTCCACCACGTCTCATTGTACACCAAGGACACCGAGTCTCACCATCACGTCTCACTGTACACCAGGACACCAAGTCTCTCCACCACGTCTCACTGTACACCAGGAAACCCAGTCTCTCCATCACGTCTCACTGTACACCAGGACACCCAGTCTCTCCATCACGTCTCACTGTACACCAGGACAACCAGTCTCTCCATCATGTCTCACTGTACACCAGGACAACCAGTCTCTCCATCACGTCTCACTGTACACCAGGACACCCAGTCTCACTGTACGCCAGGACAACCAGTCTCTCCATCACGGACCACTGTACACCAGGACACCCAGTCTCTCCATCACGTCTCACTGTACACCAGGACACCCAGTCTCACCATCACGTCTCACTGTACACCAGGACACCCAGTCTCACCATCACGTCTCACTGTACACCA